TAAAGAACCATCTTTCTTCCTTACAAACAACACAGGTGCTCCCCACGGTGAAGTACTAGGTCGGATAAAATCTTTTTCAAGCAAGTTCTTTAGTTGTTCTTTCAACTCTTTCAGCTCTGCGGGTGCCATTCTATAGGGAGAAATAGATATTGGATGAGTATCTCGTAGTAGGTCAATAGAAAACTCAATTTCTCGCTCTGGCCGGAGACCCGGAAGTTCATCAGGGAAGATATCTGGAAACTCATTTACCACAGGGATAGACTGAATGGTTGGTGACTCTACTTCCACATCCTGAACCCAAACTAAGTGATAAATATAGCCCTTTCTGATCATCTTCCTTGCCTTGAGATAGGAAATAAATCTACCTCTCGGTGATGCCGTATTACCTTTCCACTCCAAAACAGGCTCCCGTAGAAATTGAAATCGGACTATATTTTATCTACAATCAACATTGGCATGACAAGAAGCCAACCAATCCATACCCATTATAACATCAAATTCTACCATATCTAACTCGATTAAGTCTGCTACGGTATGTCAACCATGAACTATTATTATACAACCCCTATATACCTGTTTAGCTATCACCGAGTCCCCAACAGGTGTAGACACCTCAAAAGGTTTAACCAATTCAGGTTTTATTTCAAACTTACTAGCAACCAACAAAGTAACGTATGATAAGGTGGAACCTGGATTAATCACTGCATATACATCGTCGGAGGAGACTGATAATATACCTATAACAATATCAGGCGATGACTCTTGGGCTTCTCGTCCTACCAACGCATAAATGCGATTATGAGGGCTACTCGAGCTAGATGCTCCACCTATGCCTCTACCACTACTCTTTGGTGCTTGGGGACCTTGCCTAGGGGGGGCGTACTGATGATGAAGATCCAGCTATTGATACCACTGGCTGAGTTATGCTTACATCACCTCTCATCGGATAATACTTCACAACGTGGCCCGGATAACTATAAGTATAACAAACATCTAATCCCATACGGCACTGCCCGGTATGATGCTTACCATATTGAGTACATCGTGGAAAGGGTGGCCTCATTTGATTTGACTCACCCCTATTCTGAGAGCCCGAGGCCCTAAAATTCTGACCAGGCCCTGAATATGTAGAATGATCAAATCTCTTATCGTCAAACTGAGGGGGTGCGCTAGCCGAGGGATGGGATGGATATCTTGAATACTACTGCCTCTGACCACCTCGAAACTCACCAAAAGGACCTGAAGACCTCGCTCTCTTATTCTGGGCCCTATCATGCTCACAATCGGCCCTCTATTTCTATTTACGCTCCTCTACACCCTCAGTGTATGCGTGAATACGAAAAATATCCATGTCTGTATTAAGTGAAATCGGCATACAATCATTAAGCAAGTGAGGCTCTAATCCCATCACGAACCGGTGAACCCGATCCTACATGTTAGATACAATAGTGGGAGCATACCTAGCAAACAAATCAAACTGAATACTGTACTCCCGAACACTCATATTTCCCTGTCAAAGGGTCAAGAACCTATCAACTCTGGATCTCCTAAGCTATGGTGGCAGATAATGATGAAGAAAAGCTTTTGTAAACCCCTGCGATACTGCTGGAGGGGCATCCTCACCTCTGGAAAATTCCCAAGACTCGTACCAATTAACTGCAACATCTCAAAGTCTATTGTAAGCTAGATCAACTGACTTAGTTGTAGTGGCCTTCATTACCCGTAACGTCCTCTGCACTCTATCAATAAATACCTGAGAGTCCTCATTCGGGTCTACTCTAGTGAATACCGGAGGGTCTAAATTAATAAAGTCATGAACCCTCGCACTCATGGACCTATCTGTGTGACCAATACCTGCCTCCTAATGTCGAGCATGTGCGGCTACTAATCGGGTCAATAACTAAATAGCATCTCTCATATCCTGACCTGGCGCATCCGGCTGAGGTGCTGAATGTACAGGGGCGGGCGCTGGAGCTGGTGCCCTTCGGAGCTCTTCTAGAAAAGGTGGGGTATGTGAAGTCTGAGATGGATCCTCACCATGAGATTCTCCCCGAGCCTTGGTAACTCGTGGCGCTCGACTAGTAGTCTCACCAGCCACGGGCTTTCCCTTTTGGGCGACCGTACTCTTTGGAGGCATTGCTGAAAATATAATGTATCATTAGGAACATGAATTCTTGTATTGCACGATCTGAAATAAAAAGAGAGGATAATATCTTATATGTCCTGTAGCCTCCTGTATAGAAGTGTAGTGCATGACACACCCATAAACAAGACTCTACTAGACACGGTTTGTAGAGAACCCTAGGACAGAACTGCTCTGATACCACTTTTGTCACGACTCAAACCGATGGGCTGCAACGGGTTCCTGAGTCCTATCTGTCAAACACCCCTAAGAATGCATCTAAGATATGAACTTGTATAACATCTGTTGGATTACGAAAATAACATTCGTGAAGAAACCTGCCATCCAGGCATATGTACGTATAAAAGCACAATACAGTGGGCAAGCCAGCAAAGCTACTATAGACAATTATACATCCAAAACTGAAAGCCGACAAGGCCACATATAACCCAACTAGATATACTGTCTACAGACCTCTAATAGAAACATAACTGTACAAAGACGAGACTGAGCCACGCCATACCCATATACATATATAAACGTATTATACCAAAACAAAAAGCAGCTCCGGATCAAGTGGAGCATGCCAACTCTCGCTGATCAAGAATCCTAAGAAGGGGGACCGTCAGCTTTCCTACCTGCACCTGCGGCATGAAACGCAGGCCCCGTGAAATAGGGCGTCCGTACGAAAAATGTACTGAGTATGTAAGGCATGAAAATAAGTACGTAGAAGACATAGATGAAACATGGAATACAGAAATACCTTTAAATCTGAATAACTCTGTAAATTTTGAAACGTTTATAGTATCATGCACATGCATATAAATATCGTGCCATGCATAGGTATGGGTGTACATAATATCATCAAGCCCTTGAGGGCATCTCATCATATCGTCTCTGGCACTGTGGGCAACATCATCAATATATACCAGCTGATCAGGTGGTGATGTGTATATAACGTCATAACCTCTTCCCATATCCCATATACATATACATACATATATACGTATATATAACGCCGTTTGAATCATATTTCAGCCACTGTGGGCAACGTCATCATTATATACCAGCTGATTAGGTGGTGATGCGTATATAATGTCGTAGCCTTTTCCCATATCCCATATACATATATTTACATATATACGCATATATAACGCCATCTGGTCAAGGGTCAATGCACATGTATAAATGAGTAAAATACATGAAAAATACATAATAATCTCGATATTTCCTTCCGGATAAACTTTTCCAACTGCGTATTATTATAAGACCCATGAACAGAAGATAATAATAATTCTCATGGGGAATCAAGAATATAGACACCCCTACTATTTCTATGAATAGAGTAATTTATAGAAAATGTGTATTTGCTCGTTTCTTCAGTATAATTTGGACCATGCCAAAAGAAAGAAGGGAGGACCATAACATACCTGGAGTAGGGAAAACTCCGTGTAATATTTCTTTGGAAAACCTTCGTTGATTGAACGAAATTTGCCTCCGCTTCTTAAAAATTAATGGACTAAAACTTGTTTCTGGTTTAAAATATTGGAACGAAACAATTCTGGTTTCTTGAAATTGAGAGGAAAGCGTCTTTGAGAATTGAGAGGAACAAAGTTTCTATCTTTTGAAGTTTGGAAACATTATATTGAATTCATTTTGATTTGAATCTTAGCATATACCAAATTAGTCATTATCTCTCATTTATGCCTAGGTTGCCACCTAGGAATAAGTGACTTAGTCACATTCTTGATATGGTGGACTCTTGCCACGTGTTTGGGGGAATGATTATTAAGTTTTTATCCACCTATTAGTTAATAGGGTAATGTCCTGTTATCCGGTAATTAACCAATTACCAGCATAATTTAAAAATTACCCCAAATTACTTAAAATTCTTATTTATTTTTAAAAATACTTCATATATACTTTATATATTATACTACCGTGGTCATATGGTACCTTGAATGGTACTAGTTTATAATTATTGAATATTATCGTTCGACCCGTATTTTATTCCAAATTGGCCATTCTCAACGAAACTCGTTTTCGTTAATCCGTGTACCCCTTTATTCTTCATAAAAATTATTCATCGCTTGTTATAAATAGTGTAAGTACGTTAATGCCAAGATGATCACATCCCCGAGCCTACGTCGGTTAACTGAAAAACAAATTTTTAACGTACGAAAATTGCGAGATGTAACAGATAGAATGTCCTGAGAGTTCATCAATGATGTGATGAGGAAGTTTGGATTCTCTGAGAAATGTATCAACATGACTCAGGGGATATTATCCAATGTTTGGTATTCGATCATATTAAATGGCACTAGGAATGGTTTCTTTACTTTCTCCCAATGGTTGAAACAGGGAGACCCTTTTATCTCCGTTACTATTCATATTGGGATCGGAAGTATTGACTATAATGCTCAACAAGCTCCATGAGAATGAATAATTCACTCCATTCACCATGATAACTAAAGGGCCTAGGATTAATCACCTTGCTTATGCAGACGACAATATCATTTTCTCAACTGGAAACAACAAGACAATCAAGTTGATCATGAAACAGATTCACAAATATGAAAAGGCATTCGGTTAGAAGCTCAATGCAAACAAAAGTTTCTTCATAGCTGCTCCATATACCAAATCCAGAAGAATTAACAGAATCAGAGAAGTCACTAAGTTCATGGATAAATAGTTTCCTATCAATTATCTGGGGTGCCCTATATATGTTGGAAGGAAGAACATTTGTTACTTTGAGGAGATGGTCGCTAAAATTGTTAAAAGAATCAGTGGCTGGCTAGGAAGATTGTTATCCTACGGAGGTAAAATGATCATTATTAAGAATGTATTACAATCCCTCCCACTACACACCCTCTCAGCCATGAACCCTCCAAAAGCTCCGCTTAATCTGATTGAAAAGCACTTTGCAAAATTCCTTTGGGATTCCACTGGTGACAAAAATAAGTTTCATTGGAATTCGTGGAAAAACCTTTGTATTCCTGAGGAGGGTGATATCGAAATTAGAAGAATGTGGAGGTTCAGAACATGTCCTTTTTTATGGGCTGACTACCTAAAAGCTAAATATTGTAGTAGATCTCATCCTGTTAACAAGGCTATTAGCTCTGGCAATTCACAATCCTAGAAAGCTCTTCTTCATATGAGAAACATTGTCTAAAATAATATCATTTGGAATATTAACATAGGCAACTGCAGCTTTTGGTGGGACAATTGGACAGGTAAAGGACCACTTGCTAAAGTGGTCAATCACACTAACATTTCTGGTAAGCTTCTTGTTTTTCATTTTTTTCAGGAACGAGGAGTGGAATACGCACAAATTGGAGCAACTCCTGCCCACCCATATTGTTCATCATATAAGCATCATTTCTAGAGGGAAACAGAACAATAATGACCAAGCCATTTGGAAACTCATGGAGAATGGATATTATTCTAATGCATCGGCCTGGTACATTGTTAGAACTATCAACCAGAAAAATCCCCTTGTGAGCAAAGTATGGCACGATTGTATCCCCTTCAAAATGTCATTTCGTGTTTGGAGAATGATCCAAAAAAATCTCCCCTTTGATGACACCATTAGAAAGTTTGGCAATCAACATGCATCAAGGTGAAACTGTTGTAACAGCCCACAATCTAATAGTTTGCATCATGTTTTCATTGATAGTGAGGCCGCGAGGCATTTATGGGAATTCTTTGAAAATCCTCTGGAAATTCGGCATCAAGCTACTTCCATTAGTAGTGCTCTCAATCAATGGTGGCAGAGGAAACCAAAGAATTTGGTCCATAAAATGATCCTTCACATTATTCCTATCACTATCTCCTGCGAGTTATGGAAAAGCTATACATCTTGCAAATTTGGAGAAGGTAAGAAAGTTGTTCTTTACAAGATGAAGTCCCAAATTATTTGGAACATTAACGCTGCTATCAACAAGAAATACCCCTCTATTAACACCCACTCTCACTGGTACAAAAATTGTGAGATGATTGAAGATCTGAAACCTATTCCTATATGGAAGAGTGTCTTATGGGAGGTGCCTCCCAGTGGGTTTCTAAAGCTAAATACTGATGGAAGCCTTAACAAACAGAATGGGAAAGCAGGGATTGGAGGAATTCTTAGGGATGAAGAGGGAGGCTTTGTAATGGCTTTCTCGATGCCAATCATATGTAATAGTGTCAGTGAAGCAAAATTGAAAGCTATCAAATATGGGTGTGAGTGGTGCAAAAACAAAGGAATATTGAACTTCATTGTGGAATCGGACTTGAGAATGATCGGTGACATGCTACAGACCAAAACTCTTAGCAACAACAAGCTGAAACAAGAGGCCGAAAAATTATTGTATACTCTGGATATCTGCAGGGCACCTATTAACCACTGCCTTCGTGAAGCAATTCAAGTGGCAGATTGGTTCGCTAAAGAGGCCACCAAAGCTAACGAAGGCATCATACATACTGATTTTAGACAGATTCCAAAGGCGGCCAAGGGCCCTTTCTTCATGGATATGTGGCAGGTCCCGTCCTTTAGAATTAGATATGAAAAATCCAATTTTCTTGTAAGCTAATTAGGTGTATAGTGAGAGGAAATGGTCTAATATGTATTTTTGCCCATAGACTCTTCCTCTCTTAAGGTAGGAAAGTATTCTCGAGGTAAGGTTTATGTCCCCCTCAGTGTACACTTTTTGTTTATATAAATAGACGTGGTAGGGGTCCAGCCAAACCCCCCAATACCACAGGGGGTGAAAACCTGGGTGTTTGGACTTTAATTAAAAAAAACATAATTATTAAATCATAACCAACATAACCTCGGAAAAAAATAGCAAAACAAGGGATCGAGTTTTCATTATGAATGTGGAAACATCACATGCTACAGCATAAAACCTTGGTTCAACAATGCGTAAAGAAGGATAGAAATAGCATTAAACATTACTTATTTACCTAATAATAATTCGAGGATATTTTGCATCTAAATTTAGATGGTCATAATAAGCATAATATTGATGGTCATGAATAGGATTCAATTAGATACGGTTCCATTTCTACAAAGCCATTGACCCGCAAAAATCTTGTCACAGTTAAGGTTTGGATTAATGGTACTAAAGTCTTCAGCTTTCAGATTGAAAAACTCCACAAGACTTTGACAAGTGTCGCCAACTTGTGCTGCATATAGGTTGTGACATTCAGGATTGTCAATATTTGTTCCCTTGAAAAACTCTAGACAAAAATATAACATAGAAAAATAGAACGTAAGTTCAGAGATAAGCAAAAGACTTATGAAACAAGTGGAAATTAAACTAAAATATACCTGCAAGTCCCTGGTATGAAGTTAGAATGAGAAGAAAAGAGAGGACTAAAACTAAGGAATTGATGGTATAGTTGTTTGCCTTAACCATGGTTGAATCAACAAACTTGTACTGGTGAATTCTAACTTGCTTTAGAATTCTTGAGTGACTAATGCTCTATTTGATTGTATATTTATAGTCCATACAAGAACGAATAAGCATGGGCGGAGCTAGAAGAATACGCACATATTCAGCCGAATCCAGTAGTTTTAATTTAGTCCAAACTTTATATTTGTGTTGAGCAATTCACTAAATACATATAAAAATTAAATCCATAACCAGTTAGTGATACCTGATGTCACTATCCTAAAATTTAGAGCACATAAAATTTAAATTCTTGCTCCGTCTCTGCGAATAAGATTTTAATTTGGTTGGAGAAAAGTGTGGAATTTATGTTATCCGTTAATGCGCTGGACATGTTTTTTCTTTTGTACTTTCCTTCTCAGCGTTCACGAAGCATGGTAATATTGCCGATTGTACCTGTTCAAATTAAGTTATATGGTTGGAAGCTAACGTAAATTCATGAAGAGTGAGGCTAAACTAAAACTTAGTTATTTTTGCTACGGACAAAAGGATATAAACATTTGACTCTTTCACCCAATGAATCTTGGTCTGCCGATTATAAGGAATCTTATTTGTTTATGGCAGTTTTTAGCTTATACATTGGACATCTTATAGTTTGTGCCTAATCTAACAGCATCATGTAAAATGAACATTAATATTATGTGAATTTTAAGATGGTTAATTAGTGCCAATGAGCAATAGCTTCTTAACATTTGCTCCATCTATCTCATTTTATAAGATACATTCTTCTTTTTAGTCTGTCCCAAAGAAAATAATATATTTTTATACTTAAAAGTATTTAACTTAAGCTTACGTTTTATTCTTAATGAGATGATTTATAGTCACATATTATTTATAATTTATTTTAATCCACAAGTTTCAAAAATCTTTCTTTCTTTCTTAAAGACCATGTCTGTGACACCCCAGGCGAATCTCATACCAACAAAATACGGGAAAGATATGGGTATAAAAGGAAGAAAGCGTTAGACCCTAGAGATGCATTCTAAAGTCATGTGGGCTTGAGCCTAAAGCGGAGAATATCACTAGTGGACTGGGTCATTACACATGATATCAGAGCCATTCTGTGTGCAACCTTGAACGACATCACTAATAGGGTTGCTTATTGTTTGACTCAAAAGATATTGAAACCTTTTTGAACAAATCAATCGAAGATGAAGGGGTAAATCTTAGCTGAGTATAATAACTCTAGAAAGAATGATAGATAAAAAGAAGGCGGGTCCGAAGATTCCTTTTACGATCTACTTTCATAAGCAATCTTTTAGAAACCTTTTCATTCGTAAAATAGTAATGCAGCCGACATCCGGATCCCTCTTTTACAAGGTTATTGCCCTCTATATATACAAAAAGCGAGACTCTTCTAAGTTGTTAAAGACAAATTACAAGGAATATTCGAAGAAATATTCCTGATGTCCCCTAATGGGCCTACACTATTACAAGGGTCGTATAGTCTCTTGTTTGCTTTAAGGTCGTCTCCTCAGGACGTCGATTCAAGGAGACACTGTCATTCGTCATACTCGTCGTTGGTCGTGATTGGTCAAATTTGGACCCATACAGTTAGTCCCTCCACTTGTCGGAGTTGCAACTGGGTGCGTCCTCGATGAGCGGACATCATGCATTCCTATGGAGAAATTTGGTCTGTTGAGACGTTACGACGTGGCCAATGGGGGATAGTCATCATGCTTATCAAGACAACGGGTAATGCGCTTTACCGGGAAATGATGTCATCTTCACGTGCGTCATCATTGTACATGTTTTCGAGGCAGGAGTTGATGGCTTGTTGCTTTGATTCTGGCGCTACTATGTGACCCTCCGCTTCGATTATGGCGCCACCCAACCCTATAAATAGGTGAAGGGTTTGTTTTATCGAAAGTTCTTGGACATTTCACTCCCGATAACCTCCCTTATTCCTCCGAGCTTGCCCTAATACCCTTCTGCTTCTTCTTCTTACGTTCTTCATTCGCAGCTTCTTCCTCCTCCGTTTTTGCATTGATACTCCTTTGAACGACATCTTGCCAAGATCTCATTGTTCTCGCGAAGGGGTTCCTGAGGCTACCCCATTGTCCACGACGCCCCTATAGGCAGTGAAGATACGGTGGTAAAAGAGGGTGACAGTCCCCCTACGGTGGAGGAGTTATTACCGAGACACCCCATGTCTCAGAGTGACTTCCCCAAAGACCCCCCTCCTACTCCTGCCCCGATACTTTCTGAGACGGAGCAGGTTCACCTTGATGCTCTTCGTATAAAATATAGCATCCCTTCTCACGTTGACATGATTCCGGCAGGGAGAGATTTTGTAAATGTCCGCAGGCCTGGGTACTGCGCTTTCTATGAGTACCCTTTTGTGATTGGCTACACTTTTCCTCTCTTACACTTAGAGGAAGAGTTTTGTAGGTTCTACCAAGTTTGCCTGGCAAAACCTTTGTCGTATACCCTTAAGGTGCTCCTACTGTTGACCAAGTATGCGGAGTTGGCGGAATGTAATATTTCTATCCACCACCTTTTGCACCTGGTCTCGCCTAACTTCCACAGAGGTACCATGGTGCATTTGAGGCATCGCGACACAAAAGGGTTGGTGGTTGGGACAGACGACCGAGCAAGTCGCAAGTTTTGACACAAGTACTTCTTTGCCAAAACCGAATATATTATCTCCGACTCTGCCAGGTTCCTGGAGCGATGGAATGAGACTCATAAGTGTCGCCACTCATTTTAGTCTTCCTTCATTTGTATTCATTATAAAGTTTGTTTGATTCTTGTTTGCAGCCATGGGATGTCCGCCCCGCCCTATTGCGGGCATAAGGGATTAGGTAGCTCATTTGTTATCCCACGCAGTGGAAACCCGTGATTAGCCTTCCTTCGTAAAGCATTACGGCCCTAAAGTTCCAACTGGTGAGTGTTTTCCCTTTACCCCTTCATTAGTTATATATCTCCATCCATTAATTCAACTACTTCGTGATGGTAGGTCGAGGAGCTTCCAGGCGGAGGGCGCCAGTTCCCGCATTTTGACAAGCCGTTGCTACCGCGAATACGCAATTTATTTTGAGTGAATCTGTTTGAGAGGGTCGTCCTCAACTTGCTCAATTAAAAGGCCCTTTTCGGGTCGTGGTCGTGAGAGAGAAGGCTTCTTCAATGTCGGCCCCCCACCTTTTGGACGAATCCTCCAATGGGGATGAGTCGTTATTGAGAAAAAAGAGGAGAATGGAGCTTGGGAAGGGTGTGGATGTCAACGCTAATAGAAGTAGGTCATCGCAGATGGCACTTGTGCCCATATTCATGGCTGATACCATATTATTGGGGAGATCTCCTCACACATAGGGGGTTTGTCTAGGAGCCGGATCTATATGCTCTGCCGAGGGCGGTGCATCGTCCAACGTTGGAGTCCGTTGCATTGAGGGCGAAGACTCAGGCTCAGATGTCGACCCGGAGGAAGTCAACGAGTTCATAGGTCATCATACTCACGTGGAGGTCAGAGCAGAGGGGTCTGATCATCACATGTCAGAGCAGAGGGGTCTGATCGTCACATAGTCATCCCCGGGGACTATAACTTAGTGTCAAACTGTGAGAATGTGGCGTCCGTTTTAGCTCCTCTATGTGTTGCCCCTGAAAACAAGGTGCTCAGGGCAATGAGCGACCTGGAATTGTCTCAGAACGTCGCCGGTATGGCTTTGCAGGTAAATTCCTTTCTTTTTCTTTTTGTCGTTGGGCTTGTGCGCCGATTGTCGACCTGTATTTCGTTTTTAACTTCTCTTTTTCTTTTGTGCTATACCCTCATCATGGAGACCGAACGCGAGCGTCAGGAGAAGAAGAGGACGGCCGTATAAGGGAAGATGTCGTCCAAGTATCAACGGTATCATGCTAAGCATCACGCGATGGCCGATATTTATACTCAAGACCCTGAATTTTAGTTGTTTCGCGAAGGGATCAAACAGAGGGAGGACCAACTGGAGCGCAAGGTCGAAGAGTTGAAGGAGCGGGACGAGGAGCTCATGAAGGCTGTCGCCCATAATAGTGAACTTGAGGCTTCCCTTAGAGCGAAGGAGGACGAGCTTGAGTTGAGCAGGCAGGTGATAGCTGAGAATGCTGATTTACGGGCGAGAGTGGCCAGTTTGACCGCTGAATTGAGTGCAAAGGCGGCGGAGATT